GAACCGACAGTAAACCAGCCAGCGAAGCCTCTTTTAACAGTGCTAATTATTCTCATATAATTTCGAAATCACGTGAAATACTCTTTTGACACAAAAACACATTTAAAACTATGTGGTTACCTGGGCACATCGGAATAGAAGGGAACGAATTTTCACACCTATGATTTCTGCATTAAAATCTTAGTTTAACATAGTATTTACGTCTAAAGAACTGACATTTTCATTATTCTGCAAAACCCTCTATCAGCAAATCTTTCTATATAAATAGTTATAATTCGAATTGCAATAACCTCTATCTGATCTTTAAACTAAAATTAAATGAATTAAATTGCGTGAATTGCGTGAATATTTAAGACATGCGTGTGTGCTTAAAATTATTAACACTTTTAAAAACAGCTGCCAAAACAGTTTTTTTGCTCTCCTGAAAAATTGAGTTTTTGCAGATAGAGGGTATTGAATATAAGCCCTCGATATGTTTGTGTATAGATGGGCCTAAGTAAGAAATTGCAACAGCTCAAATTAACTCCCTTACAAAATTTTTGACGTCAGGCGTCAATAATGACATTTTCGAAATTGGCAAAAAGAAAAAAGAAATTGGCAAAAAGAAAAATGTTTGGGAGCGGGCAAGTTAGTTAGCTTTTTATATTTAACATTTGTTAGTAGATACTCTTTATCGTACAAAACCTACCTCAGAAATATGAACGTTAGTTAAGGTGCTCCATATTCTCTTTTGGTAAGCCATTTCTTACACTTATTTCTTTCATACTGGTTGCTCTCTCACAATAAAATAATAAATAAACTTGCTGCAATGTCTTACAAAAGTACTCTCAATTAACGCTATCGTACATACAAATGTACACACGTACGTACACGTTCAGCTTTTAGTCAGCATTCTGATAGCTTCCTCAAATAGCCGTGGGTGGCGCTGCTATAATTTCGTTGCATTTATTTATTCCTTGGTTTTGATTTTAAGTGATCTGTTTGTTACAAGGCCTCTTCGTCGAAAAGCCTAGTAA